CATCAGTGTCAGACAAATCAACGACAGGAGACATCAGTGTCAGACAAATCAACGACACGAGACATCAGTGTCAGACAAAACAACAACACAACGACAACTTGAGAAATGACGGCTGTCTATGTCAAAGGACAGTTTTCGTGTTTAGGGAAAGTTTAATGGCACTTGCAACACAATTAGGATGTGTTGAAGATTAGAGGTGTTACAAGAGAATAACAAACACAAAAAAGAAGGAGGAGATAAGGACGATAGATGTTTGATAGGAAAGAAGGAGAAAACCACACCAGAGCACCTGCCAACCACCCACTGTTAAGTTTTAGTAAGAGTTTTACTGCACTTGCAACACAATTAGGTCATATATGTTGAAGATTAAAGGTGTTACAAGAGAGTAGCAAACACAAAAAAAAAGAAGAAAGAGAAATCAGGACAATAGATAATTGCTAGAACAGAAGAAGCAGACCAGAGCACCCGCCAACCACCCACTCACCCAAGGACAGCCTCGACTCTCCAGACAACGAGCTGTCGCTCTCCGCCTCGCTCCAGCCTTCCTGCTCAACGTAGTCAGCAAACTCCTGGCGACTCATACACAGGACCTGGGGGGAATAAGAGAAGGGTGCTGCTATCTGTTGGGTTTTTTTGTATCCCTTGCCCATTTCTATGAGATTGACGTCACCTGATTAGTAGCAAAACGTGCATGTGATAGAATCCAGTAGTGTGTTACGTGCATACTTAGTATGACAAGTAACTGTTACAGATAGAGATTCCAGGATTATAGATGTAAGTCATTGATCTGAGAGCGGTAATGATTTTAGAAATAATGGTGGTGATGAATGATAATGTGGGATTGCATTTAAGTAATGTTAGCGTTAGTCCTATCTTCCTCTGCTCCAATGAGTCACGAGGGACGTGGGCACCTTCTATCCCGTTCCCTACTGGAACCATCTTTACGGTCACTGTGAAGTTCCGAAATGATGGGCACAGTCTCTGCTAAGGTGACATTGTTAGTGTTAGCCGATTCTATCGGGCCAAGACAAGTGGTGCTTTAAGTTCTAGAATCTCCACCCACTTCATGATGGGATAGTTTATGGAATCCAGCAACCACAACCCTCCAGTTAAAGACGTGACTCAGCTGTGAGTCGCTGTAAGTCGCTGTAAGAGATGCTCACTCACCCTAAGGCAACAACCACAGCTTGAGCCGACAGCAATAACATAACTCTGTAGCCAGCTCTACATACGGTTTGATCCTATAGTTACACACATCGCAATTAATCCAGAAATTGCCAGAAATTGGACAGGAATAACAAAAGTAGATGCAACCCGCCTTCAGAACCAGCTGCTATAAACTACTGACAGATGCTGTGTACACTTTGATGCTTTGCCACGCACTTCAAGAGAGATCAAAGCTTTCGATTAATTCAAATGTCAGCTGAAGTCGTTTCTGTTTTTTAATTAATAAGATGAATATTTGGAGTGATTTTCTTTTAGCCAGAACACGTTTTGTACTGCTTTGTAAAGCGCTCAGAGCCTGTGTACTTTAATCGGGGTTGAGCGCTATAGAAATGTCATTTATTATTATTATTATTATTAAAATTATTATTATTATTATTACACCCAAAAACTTGACAAACCTTCAAAGCTTGAACACAAATGTCGTCCGTGATGATTCCGTCCTGACCCAGCACAAATATCTCCGTGTCAGAAACAACTTCCTGTGGAAGACACAGATAGTGAGATATACAACAAAACAGTCACTGACATTTACATCAGCAAACCACAAAGTGTTTCTGGGACAGTTGTTCCAATGTTCTGTGACAGATATTTTAACTCTTTAAACCCTGAGTTTTTTCCACCGTTTCCCCGGAGTTTTTTCTGCAGTCACCTAAACCTGGTGCACTATGTCTCATTATAACCCCAAAAGCTTGACTCCAACTTCTAAATAGCGGAAACAAAGGCTTAGTCATTAAGTCATTACTGTACTAAAAAACATGGTTTGGGAATAGTTCTGAAAAACAAGCAAAAACTAGCACTAAATAAAACAAAACAGTTGTCTCTAGTACTGGACGCTCTGAGCGTCCGACGGAGAACAGGGGTATTATCGCCGGACGCTCCCAGCGTCTGATGGGGCTCAAAGCGTTGAATCTATCTTTCTAAGATATTCCTTGAACTATGGACCCCTCGAACCACTGAGGCCAGTCCCGACGAATTCGAGCTATCTGTATTATACTGTAATTTCTGAGATGGAGAAGTTTCTTATTGCCATTAGGAACATAAAATGACGGCTGCACCAAACTAACCTGTTCTTCAAGGAACTTCCACTTTTCCTGGCAGAACTTCTCGGCCTCGCCGCCCTGGCCCAGCTGTGTGACAGCCTCCCACATACACGTCGACGGGATCTCCACCTGGCACGGGGAACACTTGTTGTAGTTGAGGGTTTGTTTTAGTAGAGGTTCTACGGCGCTTGCAACTGCATAAGGTCATATGAGCGCCAGAAGATTAGAGGCTAGAGGTGTTACAAGAGAGTAACAAACATAAAAAAGAAGAAGGGGAGATAAAGACGATAGATGTTTGATAGGAAAGAAGGAGCAAACCACACCAGAGCACCCGCCAACCACCAACGTAGTAAGGTTTTAAAGCGCTTGCAACTGCATAAGGTCATATGAGCGCCAAGAGGTGGATGTCAACAGAGAAGTCCTTACTGGGAATCAGACTTACTCTGTTCACCTTTCTAGCCTCAACAGCACAAAGTCTGCTTCGACTATCAAGGCACCCCGGAATTAGTGGGTCACAAGAATGTGACAAACATACAAAAGAAGTAGAGGAAAAATGACAATAGTAAGGATGAGGAAAGAAAAAGCAGCAGTTCCCAGTATGCAGTTCCGGCACAGTATGAGCATGACATTGATAAATCAGCCCATTTACAATTCTACTGTGTATAAGAACATATTAATATTCCCCCTTTGGGAATTGCCTGAAGACGTCACTTTGGCCGCCTAAAACTTCCGAATTTGAAAAAATGAACGGTGGTTCAGAATCATTTAAAGGGGGCACAGTTATATTAAGGAGTTTGAAGTCACTGTAGTTCAATTTTCAGTTTTTTATTAGTTTCCTTCTGATCTAATCTTGGGAAAGTCCGTCTTCTAAGACGCCATTTTTATAAACAAGTGAGGATTCCGTTCACAAACAGTGGGCATTGGTTCCACAATGATTGGACGATTGATTCTTTTGAATCCATTCACCGAACGGGGTACCCAACTTGTTGTATATAAATAGTAACAAAATACATCACAACAGGTTGGAGAATATTTCCAAACATGGCCATATGCTCACAACAGATACTCATCAGCCGTCAGAAAGGACAATCCACAACTTACGACGTCATTGCTGTTGTGTGGGTACGACTCAGCGAAGCCGTACATGTGCATGAGGTGGAGGTTGGAGACTTGGCCGTACGTGTTGAAGATTTCCTCACCCTGGACAGAGAAGAGAAGAAAAGCTTTCTTTAGTTTTAATAAGAGTTTTACAGCACTTACAACACAATAAGGTCATATAAGTGTCGAAGATTACAAGTTTTACAAGAGAGTAACAAACACAAAAAAAAGGAGGAGAGATATATAAGAATGATAGATGTTTGATAGGAAAGAAGGAGCAAACCACACCAGAGCACCCGCCAACCATCCGCGAATAGAAGAATGACTTCCTTTAGATTCAATGAATTGAATGATAACAAACGGCGCATTATCTACACGGTTGAGCCAAATCACAGTGTACTAACAAAATAACAACACAGTGTACATTGTCTAAATGACTGACCTGAATCACTTTTTCCATGGTTCTTTACAAGAGAGTGGCTATGAGTTGAGACAATGAGAATGCATGTGGATTTTTAATGTCATGGACCTAAGCAAACGCATACAGGAACACTACGTTTACCCTTCTGAGCAGTGAACCCACGTCTGCGGAAAAAGCTTTTCACAAGTCCATAGATTTTTAAATTTTATAAGAGGCATCGATGAAAAAGAACAGAATTTTGATCCTGTCCCCATTTAATTGAAAAAGACAACAATAAAACATCTACAGAGATATCTAGAACGGTAAACCATCTGCCCAAGCTACCTGTTTGACAGGCCGAGTGGTGACCATCTTGAGAGCTTCCTTGCCAAACGTGAGCTTGGCGTTGTTGTCAGTGACGTGATTGAGCATGTCGGCCATGGGAACCATCATAGGGGGCATAACTCTTGGCTCCTCCTCCTCACTGTCTTCTTCTTCTTCATCCTCTTCGCCGTCTTTACTTTGCCCACCGTTGTCGACAGAATCTTTATCTTTGTGAGCCGGCTCTGTGAAGCTGTACGCCATGACAAAGGCCACCATTTTCTTGAAAAACTCAAAACTCACTTTGTCGTTTCTGTCGAAAAAATAAAAACCCCAAAACCCCCAGAGAAATTTACGTCAGGAGGTCGTGACCTTAGTGCTTTCTTGTCATGTCTTTTTTTTTTAAACAGTGAAAATGTGATTTCTCCTTAAGCTCACTCTTTGTAATGAACTGTTTTCACTGTAATCAAAAATGGATAAGGGACAAGAAAGCACTGAGGTCGCGAGGTAGGAACGGTGAATTTGGCAACAGCAGATGGTAAAAACTGCTGAGTACAAGAAACTAATAACAAGAACAATAGATTGAATTAAATGGCACAGATCCTTACAAAAAAGTAAGCTCTGTGGGCGTTACAATTTATTTCCTAACATGACACGATGAGACAGAAAAGTCATACAATGGCATCAGCTTCACTTAAACTTGCTTAAAATACACATATTAAATACATAAAGTATGAGTCATATACTTGTAATTACATTTTTAGCATCTGTGCACACTTACACTTTTTCTACAGTGCAGCCTCTCTATACTATAATGACATCGTCGAAAACAGAAAAAATGTCGTCGTAGAGAGTTTTCGTCACAGTGTGGCATCCAAAAATTACTACTAATGATATATAAGGAAAAATCGGGACCTGGGCACGGGCTGCCTGGGCACCATGTCGCTATACAGAAGATGTTGTTATATCGAAGGTCGTTATAGAGAGGCTGCGCTGTATGTGAAATTTCATGATTAGTTACAAAAACACCCATCATAATCCTCTGATCACCTTAAGGTATCGTGGGCTTTGAAGAACGGTTCAACGAGCCGGTCAAAATCGTCCCGCACCATCTTCAGGTCTCGGCGGACAGCAAGGTCCACCCCGGTCCCTCCCAGGTATCTGTCAACGTCCGAGCTGGGGGGGAAGAGAACATACTGTCATTGCATTTTTGTTTTAGTAGAGGTTTTACCAAGGGGTGGATGTCAACAGAGAAGTGTCCAAATTAGGAATCAGGTTTACTCTGCTCACCTCTCTAGCCTCAACAGCACAAAATCTGCTTCGACTATCAAGGCACCCCGGAAATAGCGGGTCACAAGAGAGTGACAAACATACAAAAGAAATAGAGGAAAATGACAATAGTAAGGATGAGGAAAGAAAAAGCAGCAGTTCCCCCTATGTTGATCCGGCATAGTATGAGCATGACATTGACAAATCAGCCCATGTACAATTCTACTGTTCATAAGAAAGTCTTAGTATCACTCTTTTGGGAACGGTCTAAAGACAACTTCAGTCAGTAGCACTGCCGGGGGGGGGGGCGTCTCATTGCATGACTGTGTGACACTGACACTGAGTCTGTGTCAGAAAACAAAGAGACTGTAGAAACGAATATACATGGTGTGTGAAAAGCTAAGCTAGAAGACGAAAATTCAAATTCTTTCTTGTGACCGGAAAGCAAAAATACAGTGTACCAAATCACTTCACAGAACATCTATCTTATGGAAAAACTGACAAATCACTTCACAGAACATCTATCTTATGGAAAAACTGACAAATCACTTCACAGAACATCTATCTTATGGAAAAACTGACAAATCACTTCACAGAACATCTATCTTATGGAAAAACTGACAAATCACTTCACAGAACATCTATCTTATGGAAAAACTGACAAATCACTTCACAGAACATCTATCTTATGGAAAAACTGACAAATCACTTCACAGAACATCTATCTTATGGAAAAACTGACAAATCACTTCACAGAACATCTATCTTATGGAAAAACTGACAAATCACTTCACAGAACATCTATCTTATGGAAAAACTGACAAATCACTTCACAGAACATCTATCTTATGGAAAAACTGACAAATCACTTCACAGAACATCTATCTTATGGAAAAACTGACAAATCACTTCACAGAACATCTATCTTATGGAAAAACTGACAAATCACTTCACAGAACATCTATCTTATGGAAAAACTGAAGCTTGACTTTTTACTGTACAAATAATTCATATTCTCACACTTCTAAATATATCATCGAACTTCACAACTGCTCATTCATGCACAAAGCTGTCTATACTTACACACACACTGAAACAAGCACATAAACGCAAACAACGTAAGTACCTTTAAGCACACACACACCATAGAATTATCACGTCATATTAATCCGTTCTCACCTCTCCCAAAACATGGGCAGATCGAGCGCGTCATAATCTGGGACCAGGTCCAAGTACGGTCGCCAGGCGGAGGAAGGATTGGACTGCTCGTGCAGAAGGGAGATCAGAAGTGGGATCCACTGATTGGTCTCCGACAACTGGTCCGATTCTGACAGACAAAAGAGAACGAAATAATAATAATAATAATAATAATAATAGATAGCATTTGTATAGCACAAATCCCCGCTCAACAGCAAGCTCTATGCACTTCACAATCTATACTATTACCCCAGCAGACCTGAGAGCATTCTAAAACAACCTCAACTTCCAGGGAAGCATACAGTGCAAGCAGCCATTTATAGGCGCTATAACACTTAACATACAGACAAGATCTTTCGCTGTCTATGGCCGGGTACTCATTCCAACCTGGGTGAAGTGAGGAATATTCGTGTAAAGTGTCTTTCCCAAGGACACAACGCCGGGCTCACGGCTCGAACTCCCGAACCGGTAACCACACGATTACGAGTTCGGTAGCCTAACCACTAGACAACTGACAACCTGATGATTACGAGTATGGTAGCCTAACCACTAGGCCACCGACACCACAAACTCACGATTACAAGTCCGGTAGCCTAGCCACAAGGCTAACCACTGACTGCAAATGCTCCTCTATACTCCGATTGATACAAGTCACAGAATCCAAGAGGCAGGGTTGCTTCCACTCTGCCTATGAGGAACAATCTAGACTGAAAGTGAAAGTGATACAGTGTCCCAACAGATTGAAGAAATACTCAGTGATAGACAATCTTCCCAAGTTTGGATCAAACTAAAGGTTCTCCCCTGATCTAGGCATACCTTTGAGCAAAGTGTCTGCAATGCCAGAATTTTCAGGCATGAGAAGACACGACCTTGGCACCTGAAACAAACAGTATCCTTCGGCAATGTCTTCCACAGCCACCATCCCATACTGGGCACACGACCCCTCTGGGCCGACTCTCACCTGTAAAAAGTACAGAAAACATCACGATCATTTATGAAATTATCAGCAAAGCTACAACCAGGTTAGGTTTGGAAAACCCTCCAAAAAAAAGTTTTAAAATAAAATAAATTCTAGACAATTTGAAGACAGAAAATAACAGAGGCCATTCATTAGAAGCTAAGTACTACTTACTTACTAACAATTTCATTATACCGCTAGCTTTATTTTTTTAAGAGTCTGGAAAGAAGAGGGGTGTTGTTGGTTGTAAGTGACAAACTCCC